TTTCGCTTTTGTTTATGTTTTTTCCAACTCGTAATACACATTATTCTAAGGGGTAATACAACTTTAGAGGTATGCTTCATACATAATAATAATAATAATAATAATAATAATAATAATAATAATAATAATAATAATAATAATAATAATAATAATAATAATAATAATAATAATAATAATAATAATAATAATAATAATAAACGATTGTACATCAATCACATTGTTTCACGGAAAATCTTTTACCATCTCGTCTTCACTTGCATATGTTAAATCTATGAAGGTTTCTTGCAAGGCTACTTCTTGACCAACTAACTTCCTAAACATTGTAATCCTTGATTCCATATCGGAAGTCTTCCAACCATCTGCTTTTTCATCATGGTTTCGTCGCCAATAATCCGCTATAGGAGGTATAGGACAATTCTTTTTCAGTACGACATGTACGAAGTGGTTGTTGTTTACGTAAGCTAGTCCATGCTCTCGTATCTTATCGGAGGGCAGCGGTTCACTGTTTAAGGGAAGGAAAGTGAGACATTGTTGTGGCGCTAAGTAGACGAGCACAATATTGTACGTAGAGGCAATGATATGACCCATATCGGGTAAGGACATCCAATACTCTCTTGTAGCATATTTTTCCAAACAACACAGTCGCTTTTCTAACGTACAAATGTTTTCACGACGACAGTGCATCTTCATGTACATTGCTTCGTTCATATATAGCTCATTAACCATGTCTCCTCGTACACGATTCCAATTTTTTTCTCCGAAACCCATCATCGATGCAACCGCTCGAAATCCACAATGACCATCCGAGTCGACATTCTTTATACTTTTTACATACGTCTGAAACATTGGATGAATTTGGTCAAGAAACAAAGCCTTCCCGTTGACTTTTCGACCCTAAAAAATTAGAAAACAAAAGGAGTTTAGAGGGACAAAGAAATTTAGCAAAACTAAAAAAGACGTTCAAATACTTACTGGCAACTTTCGTAATAAAATGGGTTTAGCCGACTCCTGTGACGGCATTAAATCCACTTTCATAGGTCGTGGAATTTTAGGACAAACCCACGTCACGCCTTCGAGCTTAATTTATTGACAACGTATTAAAATTAGCAATTTATCAAATCAACATCAACAACTCCACAAATTGAAGATAAGTAGAACAACTATCATGTGTCGAATTTTACCTTAGCAGAACAACTATCATGTGTCGATGGTGGATACTCATGCCTCGATGGGTTGCGACGGGTTGATTTATCAACCACCTTTAACTTTTTTCCCGGTCGACCTCTAGTGGTGGCCTTTTCCGATGGCTCCATTGTAGATGTTCGTTGAGGATATACAATTTTGCTGAACTTGTTTAGCATTTCGTTCCTTTCATCTACATCGGCCGATGCAAACTGTTTGTGCCATCCTTTCATGAGTTCGTCATCATTAGGAAGCTCTCCTTGACCAATAACCGGCTCCATACTCATATGCTTCCAAATGGAGCCTACTAATTCAAGTGGAACATGAGATTTCTTCTTGACAAACTCGCGAAACTCGTGGTAACATGGTAGATCGTGTGTTGCACGGATAGCACATTCACATAGCATGTCACTGTTTGGAAGCAACTTTTGTGCTTTATAAAGCTCAATTTTTAGATGGTCAAGGGCGCATTGCGAGACAGCTCCTCGAATGAAATCGGTGCCCTTATGTATTCTTGCTCTTCTCAAATGATGCCCTTATGTGATCATGTTGCGTCATAATACTACTGTTGATATGTTCATACACCTGAACAAATGTGCCAAGGCAATTGCCCATATCGCTCTTCAGCCGAGAGTGCGCACCCTCCGCCCGGTTTGAAGTGTAAGTACCGAAATGTTGATACTTTTTAGTCCATACCAATACAAGCCTCTCCTTGTACGGATCCAACCATGATTTGGTAAGATATGCTATGGCATCCGGATAATCAACAAAAGTCTGTTGCCTTTTCTCCCAATCTCTATTGAATATCTCTTCGGACTCCACTTCAATAAGAGTCGCCCAATCTCTATTAAACTGATTCCACAACTTCTCAGATGAGAACATCGCTTTACAGGTGGAATATATATTCTTGTTCACATGCCAACGACACAACAAGTGATGACTGGTTGCATATACATCCCCAATCGCTTTCATTAAACTCAATTCCCGATCACTTACGATGCAATTAGGCGGAGGACAATTTCCGAGTATCTTCTCCAAACTTTGCAATGCCCAAACGTAGTTCTCCGTCTTTTCGTACTCCAAGTAAGCAAAGGCAATGGAGAACGTCTTGTGCGTACATGTAAAGCCAACAATCTCAAGTAATGGGAGTTTATATTGATTGGTTTTGTATGTGCAATCCATGATGAATACGTACGGATAGCTACGAGCTAACTTAACACAACTCGGATGAGTCCACACCATATCGATTACCTCTTTATTATTGTTAACTCTATGGTAGAAGGTACACTTATCTTTTGACAACCTTGCAAACAATTCTTGCATTTGAGTTCTTCCAAGTCTCTCTTTCAATTGCAATTTCTGACGATAATTGTAAATTGTCCTCATTCCAGTTACATTCGTCTCGTCCCTTATCTTCAATGATTTGAGAATCGCCTTCGGCTTCACCATTGCTTTAGACATTCCTTCAACAAGTACCATCTCTTCTTTTGTTAGTCTCCCGGCATAAGAGTGGCCGTGGAAGTTCTCAAAATCCGTGTGGGTGTGAGTACCACATTGAACTTTTAAATCCCACCCAACATTATCAGTATCCTTTCCTTGTTTTGTCCCCTTTAATCTAAATGTGCAATTACATTTTTTAGAACCCGTCCTCCTCTTTCCCTCTCATTGGTCATCCTCACCGGCTTTCTTCTTCCCACGATATTCACCCGCACGCTCGCATGCGAGTATTACATACGGTCTTCTACGCCCTTTCAATCCCGGATTTGAAACGAAAGTGTTTATCACCATTCTGTGGCGTCTACCAACACCTTTAACCCACTCAAGTAGAGCTTCTCGTGTCTCAAATATTTGTTCGGTTGAAAATTCATCCGAATAATCCTCCATCAATCCCCTAGGTTGCTGCAAGAAAGTACGGGAAAACGGTCTTAAAAAAACATATATAATGAAATCGGTGCTCAAAAACCGATTTTATGTAGTCTAAATCGGCATGATAACACCGGTTATAGACAAAAAAATCGGCTTTGTCATGCCGATTTTTACTACAAAAATCGGGTATTGAGTACCGATTTGTATTCCAATAATCGGACTGTAGTTGCCGATTTTCGCAACAAAAATTGGTTTATAAATACCGATTTTTTGTGTCGTCGATTTTTTTTCCAACAAAAAGAAAACGACCCAAAAACAAAAATAAACGGTTAAAACATACCTTATTGTGTTCTCCACCCTCGTAAACCACCATATCATTGTTTTCTGGCTCCATCGTGAATGTTTGGTGTGTATTTGATAATTTCGGCGTGTAGGGTTTCTTGGTGGCTTTGTGAAGAAGAAGGAGGAGATTTTTAAGTCGTGAAATAATGAAAGGAGATTTCTGGGGTTATGTATTTTATTTGGTCTTGCACAAAGGAAATATATTTTTTATTTTTTTAATATTTTGTGTTTTTTATTTACTTTTGAATTTCATTACGGG